TCATTAAGAGCAAAATGGTAACTTTGTATTTTACATTTAGAATGATTATAAAGAAAAAAAATAAAAAAAAACTACTGTTCATCTTCTTCACTCTCTCTTCCCTCCCACCCCTTCCTCCACCAACACCTCAATCATCTTCTTCTACACCCTATAGCCGGCGGAGGCACGTCTCCGTCACCACCAACAACAACCACTACCAAAATTCCTGCCAACAACAACCACTACCATCTTCGTCACCGCCAACAACAAGATGATGAATAGAAGACATGAAACGTTGCTGGAAAACCCAAATCTTAGATCCTCTCTGCCTTTCCTCGCAAATCCAGTACACAAAATCACAATTTGGCAAATGGGTTTTCCTCGTAAACTCAGTACACGAACTCACAATTTGGCAAAAGTCTAGATTGTGCATGGATGCGTCAATTTGGCAATTTGGATGCGTTAATTCGAAGAGAAAGAGATGGATACTGAAGGCATGTATGCGTCAATCTGGGTTTTAGTTTGAGACAGATATGGGCACAATCTGGAAAGGAGAATGGGGAGTTTGCTTGGTTTGATTGTAGATTTGAGAGGTTTGTTTTAGTTCGATTCTAGTGGTGGTGTTTTGGGGGCGGGGGTTGTGCCAGTTGTGGTGCGGCAACGGTGTTGACAGCGTGCTTGCACAATTGAAGAGAGACGTTTTTTTATTTTTTTTTTGTTTTTAGTTTAATTATAAGAGCAAAATGGTAACTTTGTATTTTACATTTAGAATGATTATAAAGAAAAAAAATAAAAAAAAACTACTGTTCATCTTCTTCACTCTCTCTTCCCTCCCACCCCTTCCTCCACCAATACCTCAATCATCTTCTTCTACACCCTATAGCCGGCGACGGCACGTCTCCGTCACCGCCAACAACAATCACTACCAAAATTCCTGCCAACAACAATCACTACCATCTCCGTCACCGCCAACAACAAGATGATGAATAGAAGACATGAAACGTTGCTGGAACACCCAAATCTTAGATCCTCTCTGCCTTTCCTCGCAAACCCAGTACACAAAATCACAATTTGGCAAATGGGCTTTTCCTCGTAAACTTAGTACACGAACTCACAATTTGGCAAAAGTCTAGATTGTGCATGGATGCGTCAATTTGGCAATTTGGATGCGTCAATTCGAAGAGAAAGAGATGGATACTGAAGGCATGGATGCGTCAATCTGGGTTTTAGTTTGAGACAGATATGGGTACAATCTGGAAAGGAGAATGGGGAGTTTGCTTGGTTTGATTGTAGATTTGAGAGGTTTGTTTTAGTTCGATTCTAGTGGTGGTGTTTTGGGGGCGGGGGTTGTGCCAGTTGTGGTGCGGCAACGGTGCCGACAGCGTGCTTGCACAATTGAAGAGAGACGTTTTTTATTTTTTTTTGTTTTTAGTTTAATTATTTTTTAATTGTTAAANTTTTTTTGTTTTTAGTTTAATTATTTTTTAATTGTTAAAAATATTTGGAAAAATATTAATTATAAAAGTACCATTTGTCCTTAATGAATTTGGTCAATTTTGACTTTTTTGATCAACTAATGGCCAACTGGACGGAAACCGTTCATTTTGATCCTGGGTGCGAATTGTTTAAAGGTTTGGTACCGTGAATGATAAAAAACAAATGTTTAGACAAAGTCTGTAAAAATATGAAAGGTTTGGTACCGTGACTGCAATTTTCCCTTTAATTTATCTATAACTTATTTTTTTTATTTATAAATTAAACCTTTGTTTGATTTGTATTATGATAACATGTATGATGTCTAGTTATACAGGGCATCTGGCTTGCGAGTGACGTTGATAGCGTGGGAATATACGTGTCACTAAAGTCGCACTTTAACACTATATATAATTCAAAATCATTATTCGCTAATTTTGGTAGCCAAAAAAATGGTTTCGCTAGACACCCTGACCACCACAGAGAAGGGGGCAAACCCCACCAGCGCAAATGGCCAAGCCGCGGCCGACGGCGCCGGCGTTTTATACGCGGCTGAGTCCAACGGGACTCAGATGGAGATCGACGCTTCTAGAAGGAGGAGAATGACTATGCTGCCCCTGGAAGTGGGGACACGCGTCTTGTGCAGATGGCGGGACGGGAAGTACCATCCCGTCAAGGTCATCGAGCGTCGCAAACTCCCCGGCGGCGGAGGCAACGATTACGAGTACTATGTTCACTATAATGAATGTGAGCACGAATTGCTTCTCTTTGTTTATATACCTTCGTTAATTTGAAATTAGGGTTCCGGCGAGTTTTGTACTTTTTCTGATTTTTTTTCTGAAAATTAATTTGAGATGTTTTGTTAACTCGGCGCGTGGAATTCAATGTGAAAGAACTCCTTTTGAGCAATTTATTAGATCTGGTTTTAATTTTTATTTTTTTTTGTGCAAAATAGAATTAAAAATTAGGATAAAATCAATTGGGGATTTTTTTGGGAATGGACTTTAGCTGTTTTGTTTTAGTTTTATTATTCTTACATGAATTGTAAATTCAATCCGTAGAGGTGTTAAAGTTCCTTGCCATGTTTATGGCTTTGAATTGGTCGATGTGGAAATCAATTGCCTTCAGATTTTATGGGTTTGAATATATGTCTTTTCCTCTTCCAGCAGATCATCTTGTATTAAGTCCAAATCCATCAGAAGTTACAAATGTAGTGCCGGTGGAAGATATCTTATTAATTAGATTAAACTTTTTTCAAACTGGTCGATAAAGATTGCCTAGTTTAGTTTCACTTCATTTTCTTCTTCTGCTGCTGCATGTATAGCAATATCTTTGGGTCAAGCTTACCGTTTTAAATTGCTCTCTTTCAATGTTTAAAAAGGTTAAATCGGGTATTGAGAAGTTTTATTTTTGTGAGACCAGGTATAAGCCTCGAGACAAACCAATGAAATCGTTCAAAAGAATATAGTACACAAACATGCATATTATATACTATAGTCAGTCATGAAAATCTATAATAAAATAACCAAATGAATATTCTAATTTAGAAAACAAATATAAGGTATATTGATAAAGTAATAAATAATAAGTTTCCAAATTAGTAATACCATAACAAAACTGTAATCTATTACTAGAAGTATATACAATCTGAAATCTCATATATCCTACTAATAAAAATTCAATCCGTAATTGATTCCCACTTTCCATCATTATAAAAAATTTCTCGTTTTTCCTTACCATTCGCGACTTGCAATGTTGCAGTGCCCTTTCCCTTCTAGTCCACCATCCATATAAATGCATAAAAAATTACAAGTAGCTGTAAAATGTATAAGCTATAACAAAATAGCTAAAAAAATTTAGACAGTAATAAAATGCTAAAAAAAGACAACACTAATGAGCTTAAATCTTAGCCACCTTTAGGCATAAACCTCACTAGTGGCACTCATGGGGGTAGTTTCGAGGAGCAAAGCTTTTTTAATTCGGATCTGTCTCCTGGCTCTAGTTTATGGTCCGTTTAGTATTTCTCGCTTTAAATGCTCTCTCTTATGATTTTCTTTTTAAATATCATTAATGGCTTTGGTCAATCGTTCTAATTTTGTTATGTAATCCGTGTTTAGAAAGAACCCGATTGAGGCCCACCTTAGAGTATGGTGAGTAAAAAAAACTTCGGGCAATTTTTGAAGGCGTCTGTGAGGTACATGCCTCGTAGCAACGCATTAGGCATGCACTTCTTGATTAGTTATTTACTTTGCTTTAGTTGTGGGCCACAAAACTTAAAAATTCTGTTCCATTTTGGGAATGGTCCACTATCCATTATAACATTAAAAGACTGCATTTCTCGTAGACCCATTTTGGGAATAATTTAATGTTCCACCAGCTAAAATAACATTTTTTGTTAACAAATTTTGTATGCTTGCACACTTGAAATTGTTTACTGCTCCCTTCGTCCATAAGATGGACTTTCTTTCCTTTTTCGTTTGTCCCACATTACAAGTCACTTTCCTTGTTAAGAATATAGTTAATTTATTAGTTTTATAATATACCTTTATTTAATGTCTTGATATCATGAATTACTCGTTTTTAGATCATTATTTAATGTAAGGGAATTCCAATTATATTAATTATATTTTCTTAATCTGTATGAAATTGGAAACAAACCCATATTTGAGGACGGATGGAGTATAAATTATAAAGATTTTTTATTGTGATTTTATTTTGCATTTTAGGGTGTGTTAAGCCACATTATTTTAGAAAAATGTATTCTGGTATAGTAAATTGATGGAGAATGTGTGGTTGAAAAAGAAGGAAAAATTATTGATGGGATGGAAAATATTATTTTAATGAAGAATGTGTGGTTGAAAATGAGTAGAAGAATGTGAATGAAAATTTTAATGGGTACCAAACAAGGTGTTAATAACATTTTGTCATTTTGATATATATTTTTTGGTTTATTATGGTGAGATTTACGTTAAAAAATCTCGAGGCTTGTTCCTCACCTCGTGAAAGTTAAAAGCCCGAGTACCCAATTGCGCCTTTTTAAACATTGATTAGTATTACATTTTACTGAAATAATGTATTCATCTCGAATGAGATTCTTTTACATTTTACTTTTGGGTAATGGAAGATTTTTTTAGTTGCTGATGTACTAAATATCTATTTTGTCCATTCTATAATTTATTGACCAACAAAAGTTTTACGCTCCTGTTACGTATTTACAATTGTGGACCAATGAGTGCCAATGAACGGTAGGAATAGTTGCCCATCTAGTATCGTATGTAATGTAAATCCTATGATGCGCTGATTAACTAAGTTTTATGTTCTTGATGTTTCACATGGCAATGAAGAATAAACAAGACTGCGGATGCAGAGTGTAGGAATCGTATAAGCACGTGTTAACTGCTGTACTGTATTATCTAATGATAGATTACTTGAGTGAAATAAAGTCCACCACCATTATTTATGAAAATTTTCATTCTCTTGTTACATCAATTGACTGGTTGTTTTTGCCATATGTACTTGCTTTATCTTTGGGCAGTCAACAGGAGACTTGATGAATGGGTAAAACTTGAACAGCTTGATCTTGACTCTGTAGAAACTGTCGTGGACGAAAAGGTCGAGGACAAGGTAACTTTTGCATCATCTACTCATTTCCCTTCAATTTTTCTAATTTCTTGCTTGCAGATGCTAATAACTTTGCTCAACTTATATTACATGCACTGAAGTTCACACTTTGATATTTTGTCATCTTCATCATTTTTTCTTTAAGGAGATTTACAGTGTTGCTGATTTTTCCATTATTGATACACCATTCCTTGTTTTCAAGTTACTGTTTTCTTTTTCAAAAAAATTTTAGATTTATTCATTATGTCTCTGTTTCTCACTATTGAAAGTTTCAGGTAACAAGCTTGAAGATGACACGCCACCAAAAGCGGAAGATTGATGAGACACATGTAGAGGTACTTGCAGTTTTAATATGCTGTTCACTATTCACAGTGTTTCTTGTCAGTATTTTCATTATTGTTCTTTTTCCGTGGCACTTTATTATTTGGTACTATTATTATGAGTGTTTGTTGGTTACTATGTAAATATTGATCTCTGGTCGTCAACAACTTGTGTATGCGAGCGCAAATGTTTGTAGTCATCCTGTTATGGATGGTTTTGAAATGAGATTTAATTAGTCTATTGAATCTGGGAATTTTCGTTAGAGGTTATATTACAGATCTACTTGTTAGAGGTTATATTACGGATCTACTTGTTCTCCCCCTTTTCATGTTTTTCTCGTCTATAAATATCTTAATTATGTTCTTTTTTGTAAAAGAATAGTGTATCTTCATTTGGATTACCAATAGCTGTCATATCAAATCACGCAGGGCCATGAGGAGCTTGATGCTGCAAGCTTGCGTGAGCATGAAGAATTTACAAAAGTTAAAAATATTGCAACGATAGAACTTGGAAGATATGAGATTGAGACGTGGTACTTCTCCCCCTTTCCACCAGAATACAATGACTGTACCAAGCTGTTCTTTTGTGAATTTTGCCTCAATTTCATGAAGCGCAAAGAACAGCTTCAGAGGCATATGGTGAGATTTTGTCTTCAATTCTTCTTGTCTACCATGTTTTTACCTGAAACCTGACTGTTGACACCACACTTGTGATTGGAAGAAAGTTCTGTAATCGCATCTCTAAGCTGGTGGTGTTCAAATTTATTTTTTTTATCTACGTAAAACAAAATTTCTGAGTTTTCTGATGTTTGTTCCACGCTTCTACTGTTTACATGCCCATTGTATCTTTTACACCACAATGATCATTGTCGTTGTCATCATTAACATGCTAAAGATCATCATTGGTAAAATTAACCTTGAGATGTATTCTTAAAACTGTTCACTATTTTTTTTTTTTTTTTTGTATTTGTAGAAGAAATGTGATCTCAAGCATCCTCCCGGTGACGAGATATACCGAAGCGGCACTTTGTCAATGTTTGAGGTAAATTTACATCCCTCATTCAACTTAATCATAATGTTTAAAAAAGCTGATGATCATAAATGAAAAAAAGAACCATTATGGTTTTAAATACTGTTTTGCGTTCATTTATTTCTATAGTTACCACGCCATATTCAAATTTGAATTATTTGACTATGAAAATTTTGATCTTGCAATATTTTCGTATTTGATTTTGGAAATAGTATTTTTGACACCATTGCATATTGTGCTTCATCTGATTTTCTAGTGCAGTATTTCTTTCTGCCACCCATTTGAATTTCTAAGTTGAAGTAGTCTTTAACAAAAATAAGGTTGTCTAATTTTACATGCACTGAAACAGGTTGATGGCAAAAAGAACAAGGTTTATGGCCAGAATCTTTGCTATCTGGCTAAATTGTTTCTTGACCACAAGACCCTGTACTATGATGTTGATCTATTTCTATTTTATATACTGTGCGAATGTGATGATCGAGGATGTCACATGGTTGGCTACTTCTCCAAGGTAATGTCAAACCTTTAGGAGTTGCTGTGAATTTTACCACATTTCCAAGCAGTTTCTTCATTCTATTGGAGTCATATTTTCCTTAGTTTGTGTAGCTCATTGCCATTTGTGGATATTTAAATTCCACACCACGTAAAAAATGGCATTTACTTCATACATCATGGATCAGCTTGTATGCCAAAATTAGTTTGATACAGAAGCAGTTCCATATAAATTTGTTTCAGCGTAAGCTTGATCTTATTGTCAATCAATATGATTTTGCCGTAACTTTTCCTACGTGTCAAACTTTTCCGACATGTTTAATTACGACAGAGGTGGGTTAATCGTCTTGGCAATGTCTGTCAGTAATATGATTCGTGAGAATCAATTGCTCTTGGTGTTTCAGATTTGAATGGCAATGGGTTTTGCGAACACATCTGACAAGATCAAATGTTTTTTACTTGTTATTTCTCTGATGCAGGAAAAGCATTCTGAGGAGTCCTATAATTTAGCCTGTATTCTTACTCTTCCTCCTTATCAGAGAAAAGGCTATGGAAAATTCCTAATTGCATTTTGTAAGTTACTTCATTTAACTTTCATTTTGTGTTCTCTTCATGCCACATATTCACCTAAGAGTACATAATCTACACTGAAACTCCAAGAACTAGGGCCTTACTTATATATGGTTTCGGTAATGAGTAATCAAAACTGAAAAAAGTTTGGGTTGGTTTCTGATCTAAATCTGACCAATCAATGACTTGTGTACAAGACATTGATTGTCCTCTTGTTAGTATCTTAAGATGATATAAACTCCTTTTCAGAGCTCCTCTAAGAAAAAGAATATTGCTAATTATATTCTTAAAGATCTTTACGTCATTTAGGCTGTTTGAAAACTTGAAACTGCAGAACAAGGGCTGAATAGGTTTTATACTTTTATATAACTACACATAATTTATCTAGAGAGAATAGTTTTTGTTAAACCAAGTTTTTAACCAATTCAAGTTTGGCGGGGATGAGTCCCAACTAATTTATATTGTGAAAAAAAATCTTGAGATACTTCTTTGTTCACGCAAGAAGACAATATAATATTTATGTAATCTCATGGTAAATTGTGATCTCCTTATGTTTTAGATAAAAAGTACAAACACCTTATTGGATAAAAAGTAAACTGAATTCTGTTTATCCATTTCCTACAAGGACTATAGTTGATCCAGATTTATTTTAGAATGTAAAATATCAATGCTTCTCCATCAGCTGAACATTGTTATGGGTCAATCAGTGCATAGCAAACAAAAAGGCTATTTAACAGGGATTAAACAATCTGTTTCAGATGAGGTATTTTAAATCCAGATTAAGAGTTCGTTAAGAACTAAATCAAAGGATTAGATATCTCACAATCTATGTTGGGCAAAGATAGATTAAACCAATCCATTGTTTAAAAATGCTTATCAGGTACCGTTACGTAAATAAATCTATGAAAGATAAGAGAATAGCCCAAAATGTTTAGACCACTAATACAATTTCCAGAAGATGCAAGACAACAGGGCAGACACCTTAGTCGTCTTGAGGCATAAGCCTTACAAATGCCACTTAAGAGGGATTCTAGGCATTTTATGGAAACCTCGCGTTAGGCTGGATTCGAAGCGTAAGCCTCAAATAGTTTTGTAAATAATGACCCACTAGCAGGCAAAACGGCCAATTATTTTAAGTGAGCCACCTTTATGATAGAACTTCCTTGTTTAGGCAATTTTAAGGGGTAACATTTGGTGCCACCCAATAAGTCAAGAATTTTAGATTACATGTGATCTAAAATTTATGGTTGTGATCTAGAAGAACACATTAGCTGATACCTATTCTTTAAAACTGTCTGTCCCCCATTTTTTTTCAAAAATTCATTTTTTCCAAACTCATTTTTAACTGCACATTCTCCTATAAAATAATATTACACGTAAATGGAAAACTTTTCCCTACTTTTTAACCACACAATCTCCAACGAAACACTATTCAAAAATGTATTTTTTTTCCCAAAAAGGGGGCTCAAGCTAGGGCTAAATATGTGGTGGTATTATGCTAAGTATGTCATTGTTGAATTCCTTGTACAGCATATGAGCTTTCAAAGAAGGAAGGTAAAGTTGGAACACCAGAAAGACCCCTTTCCGACCTTGGTCTTTTGAGCTACCGAGGATACTGGACACGCGTACTTCTAGATATTCTGAAAAAGCACAAGGGCAACATCTCTATTAAGGTTTGTCCTGGATACGTAGTAAAACTTTCAAATTGTAGCGTGTTTTAGCAAGCAGAAGATGGGATACTATATACATATTTCTTTTTATTACTTCATACTGTACACGGCACTCTTTATTAGCATAAATTTGTTGAAATTTTTCTCGTGGAGTCTAGCGGGGGAAAATTTAGATAAACCCAAAGATTACCTATTTCAGTTACCATTTAAAAGATTAAAAAACAATTACATTGTAGTTCTTATGTTTCATGAAATGCTAATGTTATCTCTCTTCACGATAATGCATGGTTAAAATATGTTGAAGTCTTTGGGGCAAATATAATTAGTATCAAGTCTTTTAATCACCTTGGTGGTATATGTTGTTAACTATTTAATTCAGCTGGGTACTGAAAGCATACCAATTACCATTGTAGGTTAGTTGTCTATATAAAGCTAACACCATTCTACCCCTTTAATATATGATGAATGGTTAGTTGTCTCTGTAGATCTAGCAATCAACTCAATGGGGTGGTTAAAAAGGACTCTTATTTTTGACCCCCAATTTATTGGTGATTAGGCTAAGTTTTTCGTTCTATGGATAGTTGTTTTTAGAACTATTGAGCTTATTCGGAAGGCGGAGTATTTATTTAGAAAAATGCATATTTTGACTAGATGGTCAAAGTTAATTCTTTTGATGGTTGTGTAAAAGAAAGAAAATGATATTGCATGTGACCAAATATCAGGGAAGAAAATGTTGGAGAAACAATGTATGTCAGATTCATTTTTATATTTGAGAAAAAGAATTATAGAAACTGGGAGGGGGAGGGACGACAAGAGAATAAAATGTATGAAAAATGAGATTTCATCATCTTTTCTACTAGTTTCCAAGAGAAGTATTATAGTTTTTGTTGGAGGGTTGTAAAAAGCCAGCTTCATTAATCTAATGAGAAGCTATGAGTGGAAGAGCTTGACTGGGTGGGAACTTTATTCTGCCAAACTATGAACTTCTATTTTCATTTTAAGTCCACAAACAGAGAAGCGGAATGCCATTAGCTCTCTTAAATTCAGACTAATAAAATATTTTTCCTCCTTTCCCCCGTACTTGTTGCATCAAACCCCACTCATTTGAAAACATGCGAGTTACTTATTTTGACAAGAAGTCGAGTTATTATCCAAACAACATTTTTACTTAGAAATAAGAAAATATTAGTGACATCCAAACATTCTTGGAAACTAAATGTTAGTTTAGTTGTCTTTAAATTACACAAACATGCTCCTAATTTTGTGAGAAACAGTTATTCTTTCTGTGCTTGCATTGAAAATTTGGTTAATTAGTTTTGTTACATCTTGCATTGAACATTTGGTAAATTGGTTTTGTCATATCTTGCTTCCATTTCCATCTTGTTTTTGGTTATGTTACCAGCATGTTCCTTGTTAATTTCTTTTTGCAGGAGCTCAGTGACATGACGGCAATCAAGGCAGAGGATATTCTGACAACCCTTCAGAGCTTAGAGTTGATCCAGTACCGTAAGGGGCAGCACGTGATTTGTGCTGATCCTAAGGTGTTGGACCGTCATCTGAAAGCTGCAGGCCGAGGTGGTCTTGATGTTGATGTTTGTAAATTGATATGGACTCCTTATAAAGAGCAGAATTAATTTCATATTATTGAGGTCTTTTTATGGCTTTGTCACCCTTGACGCGTGACTTGAACTGTTCTGTGTAAATAGAAAATCTATCAGAGGAACAAATCTTCTGGTGTTAGTTCTAGGTATAGGTCTAGGATGTCTTTAACTAGTTATATGGATGTTGATTACTATAAAAGCAGCGATGTATGGAGAATTTTACAGTATTACAGAGTTTCTACTGTGAGGCTGAATTTATCATTTGATGTTGGATTGGTATGTATAATTAATTATGATTCTGAACAAACCAGATTTCAGGCAAATCCCTCATCTTGTGGACTGAGCTAGTCATACCATAACTGCTTGATTGGTATGCATGAACTTGGACAGAAATGAACAAGATTTTAGCTTTTTATTTCTCTCGTACAGTATATTGTTTGTTATCTTTCCAGTAAAATATGCCATGAGTTCTTTGAGGACGCAACCGAAAATGAGACGATTGCTTTGTAAGTCCTGTAGATGTATCCTTTGACAACAGCAGCACGGTTGTGGAGGAACATTTTCAAGGACTTATGTAGGAGATTGAACACAAGTGCAGGACATGTATATCAGATTTTTAATAATTTATTTTATATACATGTTCTGTATTTGTACGTTTGTTCTGGAAACCCGAGTTGGTAGGTGCCATTTTAGTTCGAGGAAGGTGTGTGCATATTTCAACCTATGAATTTTGCTCTCCGCTATTGTGTTTCTCGAGAAATACAAGCAAGTCATTTTTTGTGGAAGCTAGGGATGGCGATCTACATAGACCTTGCGAAATATTTATTTCAGACATAAGAACCTATTATCAAAAGAGGTCTCTATGGATCGTAAATAGAAATTATGTACTGAGTAATCACACGATCACAATGCAAGACTGGAATCTTGAAAATTTTAGAAAATCGAGAGGAAGAAAAGACGTAAAAAAAATTGGTTTATTATTCTATACAACAGTGTTAAATTTACCTAATCAAGTTCTAAATGCTTCATTGAAACTTAAATCTTCCATTTTTCTGCTCAATTTTGTTTTCGAAAGGCAATTTATAAGCAATTACAACATGCATTGGCAGAAGCCATAAGGAATTTTGATAAACAAAAACCTGTAGAATTTGGATACAAATGGGAGCCTAAATATAGAAAAAGTCCTTCCAGCAGTAACATTCCTGTCATCCCTTAAGGTCGCTCAATTTTTCTCAACCTTTGCACTGATTACACTGCTTACAGACCTTTTTATCCTACTTCCTGCAAAGAATTGACATAAAAATACATCCTCTTGTGAACATATTAAAATTAGACTAAAGGTACAGTAGAGAGCCGCCGTAGAAGCATTATTGGGCATGTTATATGCCGCTGTATCGGACTAGACATTATGACAAATAGGATTTTAACTTCTTTTTCTTCTCCGTTAAGTGTATCTTTCCAAATATGTCGATATTATTTTACATGGGCTATCAAGAGAATCACGTATGAGGATTCTGATCCCCTACCTCACCTTGAGTTTGAACAGCTGCTGCTTCTGGCAGTTTTGACTCAGAATTTTCTTCTGACAACTCGGATTCAGAATTTTCCGACTCAAAATGTGATGCTTCAACTAAATCAGAAGATAATTTAGAAAGGTCCTTGTGCATTTCATCATTTGATGTCCCTTCACCAATGTTTTCTGATTCCTTCACAATTTCAGTCTGATCATCCTTTTGACCTCGGGTATCTGCCACTAGAGCAGACGGAGTTCCAACACCCAATCCTTTGGCAAGACACACATACTTGAATACGAGTTGCTTGTAATTGTTTAGCAGGTCTTCTACATCGGAAACTGTCAGATCACCAGCTTGCGAATACAAGTACGGGAAATCCTTAAAGACATGGTTTACTTCTTCTTCCTTTAAAAGCATGGTAGCACCTTTATTTTCAAGATCCGAGATCGATGGAATTTTATTCATGGACAAGTGATCTTTTAAGTTTGATTCCCCGTTCTTGGATTTCATTTCAGATGAGTGGACTGAGAACTGACCTGACACTGTTGAGTCCTGGTGCTTCCGACTCAAAGGTTGTTTGGGTTCCACCACCTGTGTCCTGGGAGTGTGTCCAACTCTTTGATCCGTTTGACTCAGTACATCTGAACTTTCAGAAAGGTCATAAAGGAGTACTCGAGCAGATTCCATGTTTGTTTCAAACTCTCTTTCATCCATTGATAGGGCTTGTGCAGTGATATTCATAATAAAAGACTCCACGGAAAGCATGTTTGTGAAATAGTAGGCTGATTCTGCTACCAAACGATTTTGTCGCCTGTACCGTTGTATATACAATAAGTTGGAATGCAGTTGTGGAGGGTTTGCCTGTTCAAGCCAACGAATTCATTGCAAGGAATCAAATGATCAATGTCAGGGGGGCAGACATTAACCAAAAAAAAACAAATTGTGTGCAGCTGTGAGCATCAATGCACATATTATCAAGTAAATGAAATTTGCACATGCATATAGAAAAACCATCTGCAACCAGCTTCCAATCAAACAAATCCTCTTAAAGTTATAAGACGAAATCTAATGCCTCCACAAGCAACACTAGAACCAATTGTCACAAGCCAAACTTGATATTTGTTAATTTTATGTTATAAAACTTGAGCATGTGACAAAACCATTGTCACCGACCTGACAAATATAGTGAGCAGAAATGAGTAATATAGCACATCCTTCAAGTTGCTCTATTCCAGAATTCATGCCGTGTTGCATTGATTTTTAGTAGTTATACTCTCTAGCAAATAGAGATCTTTGGTGAGAATGCTTTAGTCATATCATATTGACAATAATGGCGACACAACTAAATATCAGCTGTATGCCCAACAAATAGTCCAACTTCTAGCATGTTTGGCTAAGCTTAAAATAAGTAAAAGTTACTTTCAAGTACCTTTTTTTCATTGGTCATTACTCTGGGTGGTGGATGTCAGCATGGGGTAAAGGGAGTAGTAACAAATAAGGCATGCCCAGGACGCAAGTGATTTGGGAGAGTTTCTCAATAGGATAGGAGTGTGTGGGTTTTGTCCAAAGTTCTTGAGTTAATCAAATACATTCTCATGGAAGATTTTGCCAAACCAGACAATACCTGTGCCTGTACCCTCTTATATTCTTGTTGAACTTTTTCTTCGTGGAATTGTTGGTGTGGTATTTAGACGTAAAATTGGATCTTGGTTTCTTTGCTTTTGCTGGTCCCCCATAACAATGATTTCAAAATATTTACAAATTATATCACCAGTCGAACATGTATTGATGAAAAATTACCTAAGCAAAAAGTCACAAAAGTTTTAGCAGACAAAAGGAAAAGGATGCATTATTGTGTTACCACGTCATTGCATTGTCACCAGACATTGAAAAAATGTTAAGGTTTGTGTTACAGAATATATTTAGAATAGGAAATAAATTTTTTTTGATAGGTTGGAATAGGAAATAAATAAATAAATAAATAAATATATATATATATATATCCTGATTTATAGGGATTTGATATAATTAGTCTCCTTCCTAAAATAGGATTTGTATCTTGTATATATATCTAAGAGATTCATGAATATAATGAGTGAAATTAATTTCTTCCCGTTTTACATGGTATCAGAGCATTAGGGTTTTCTTCTTGGGGTTCGATTTTCGACAATACACAGTAAGCTTTTAGGGTTTTCGTGGCCTACCTATTTCTGGCAACTTCTGGGTCTCACTGCTGGCACCTGGGGAAGTGCCACTCGGAGACTGACCTTCGCCTGAAACTTCGTCGCCGGAATCGACCTTCGCCCGGAGCTTCAAAAATAGGATTTGTATCTTGTATATATCTAAGAGATTCATGAATATAGAATATGAAATAATTTCTTCCCGTTTACATGGTATTAGAGCATTAGGGTTTTCTTCTTGGGGTTCGATTTCCGACTATACACAGTAAGCTTTTGGTTTCGTGGCCTACCTATTTCCGGCAACTTCTGGGTCTCACTGCCGGCACCTGGGGAAGAGCCACTCGGAGATCGACCTTCGCCTGGAGCTTCGTCGCCATTTGCCGTTCTTTGCGCCTCCTTCTTTGCTATCTATTGTGCGTTTTCTCTGTGATTTCGTGCTACTTGCTTGAGTTTGTCCTTCTATTGTTGTCGGTGTGTGTTTCCGGCGTCTGGATTGTGGTTGGAGCCCTTGTTTCCTCTTGGTTGTCACTAACTTTGCTACTTCCTTGCGGCTCATGTGATGTCCGATTCTGCTATTTGACTTTGTGGCTGTTTTCGTAATTTTGAAGGGATTCTTTTTGTCTACTTGATGGTGGTGTTACCTTGTTACATTGGGTTGGTTTTTCTGAGCCCTGGTTGATAGACTAACATATTGAATTAAAGGGGAGTTATTAGTATTCTTGCAATTATTGTTATTAGTATTTGAATTCCTTATTGTATTAGATTTCTGGTTTTCAACTGAGGCTTACGGGTGGAGGAGAAACCAATATAAAATAAGTGGCACCACATCACTGAGGAGCAATAAAAAAAATAAAATTGGGGCTTTTGATACTTACAACCTGTTTGGAACATCTCTTAGGTGTGTGATCTACTTTGGGGCAGGTTCGGATTCTTCAAGTACTTTGACTTTATTGTGGTTCTTTTGCTCTTTATTTGGCTAATATTTGATAATATGGAGGAAAAGAAATCTGTTGTTGTGTCTGATGTGGTTCCTATGATGTCAAAAAATCACGGAACATAAACTTAATAGGTCTAATTATTTAGATCGGAGTAAAACTATTAGACTTTATTTGCGGAGTATTGCTATGAATAATCACCTAACTGATGAACCACCTAGTGAAGATTCGAAAACCTCATGGCTAAGAGAGGATGCTCGTCTGTTTTTGCAAATACGTAATTCTATTGATAGTGATGTGGTAGGTTTGATAAATCATAAGTGATGGATTATTTGGGGTTTGTGTACTCTGGCAAGGGAAATATCAACCGCACTTATGAAGTATGCCAAGCCTTTTATCGTGCAGAAAAAGGTGACAAATCTCTCACAGACTACTTTATGGATTTTAAGAAGACTCCTGAGGAACTTAATATGTTGCTTCCATTTAGTACTGATGTGAAAGTTCAGCAAGCTCAAAGAGAAAAGATGGCGGTT